ATTCAAGTTAAAATATGAAATGAAATTACCGAGTTTAAGAAACGATAGTTTTAAAAGGCAATCGAAATTAAATAAGGTATTTTTATTCCAAATTTAAAAATACACGTATTAAACTGCCAAAAAAAAAATAGAAACTCTGCAAAAAAACAGAGATTTTTTCTGTAAATCAATTTTTTTTTTGGTGATTTCTTGTAAATCAATTTAGTAATAAGACTTATGTCATTGTCCCAAAAAAAGGAAAAAAAAAAAAAGTAAATTAATTAATCTCTGACTGTGTAATATAGTGGCACGTGCCAGCTTTGCAACAGTAAAGCTAAAAAACCGTTCATGTTTGGATCCGTCGACCAATATACATATTACCGTCATCACCGGTCACCCCTCTCTTCCTCTCCATCCAACGGCTCTCCTTCTTCGATTCACTTAATCAACCGTCTGATTTTAATCTAACGGTCCTTATTAAATCCAATGTTATCACTTTCTCTCTTTAAATTAAACCCAAACCCGGTCTAATTTCTCTTCTCTCGATTCTCTCTCTCATTCTCTCTTTAAGTGAGCTTCGCCGTTAAAATTTCTCCGGTACCGGAAAATTAACAAAAGAGAAAGCGAATAGTCACTGTTACAATAATTACAAATCTCTCCCTCTCTCTCTTTCTTTGTCGAAGTCGTGCGTGATGCTAGTTACGGTGGTGAAGCAGCGGTTAGTGTACTCTCGCCGGAGAAATCGGTTATAACCGGAATCTCACTTCCGTGATCGAAGACTCTGTTTTCCGGTTTTGATAGTTTTCGAAGTTTTTGAGAAGAAATGGAAAAACAGGCGAAGCTAACGAGGACACAGTCGTCGTTGCTCCGGTCATCGTCGAATCTTCGTTCGTCATTTCAAAGCTTATCTTCAATCGTCGAAGGCGAACAAGATCTAGAAGCCGGAGAGAAAGAAGAGAAGCAGAGAAGAAAACCACCTAAACCATTCGGTTCATCAAGTCCTAAATCCGGTTTAACTCGGATTAACCCCGGTTTAGCATTCACAATGGTGTCTCTCTCTTTCCTCAGTCTCTCATCGTTCTTCTTCTTCGTCGTCTTCTCACAAACCGATGAGATTCTCACACCGGAAAATCTTTTACTAGCTTTAATCTTCCTCAATCCATCTTCTTCTTCGCCTCCAAGAACATCGCTCTTCTTAACCAAACCGTAATCGCAATCAAACAAATCTGCGACGAAACCACTAAAAACTTCGGTTTTCAGAGCAGAAACTCAAAATCAAAACCGGTACAATGGTACATCGGAGACGATACTAAACCGGAGAAGAAGATCATAAAGCGGTTCGTTAAAGAAGGAGTTCAATTCTACAGTAATGGAGATTTCTACTAAGGTGAATTTCACAAAGGGAAGTGTAACGGAAGTGGTGTGTATTACTATTTCGTGAGAGGAAGATATGAAGGAGATTGGATAGATGGGAGATATGATGGTCATGGGATTGAGAGTTGGGCTAGAGGAAGTAGATATAAAGGTCAATATAGACAAGGTCTTAGACATGGTAATGGAGTTTATAGATTCTACACTGGTGATTGTTATGCTGGTGAATGGTTTAATGGTCAAAGCCATGGTTTTGGTGGTCAATCTTGTGCTGATGGAAGCTCTTATGTTGGTGAGTCTAGATTTGGTGTTAAACATGGTCTTGGTTCTTACCATTTCAGGTATACATATCTGTCTTGAATCTTGATTTAAAGTTTTTTTTTATTTTTTTATGTAATCTGATTTTAAAAGACACAATCTTTGTGTTTTTGTCAGAAATGGAGATAAGTATGCAGGAGAGTATTTTGGAGACAAGATTCATGGGTTTGGTGTGTATCGATTTGCTAATGGTCATTGTTATGAAGGAGCATGGCATGAAGGTCGTAAGCAAGGGTTTGGTGCTTACTCGTTTAGAACTGGTGATGCTAAATCTGGTGAATGGGATTCAGGGAAGCTTGTAACTTCTCTTCCTCTTGCGAGTGAGCCAGTTTCAAGAGCGGTTCAGGTAATTTTTTTTGTTAGACCAGAGTTGACTCAGTTGTTGGAACTGACAAAAAGTGAAAAACTTTAACTTGAAAATATTACAGGCGGCTCGAGAAACAGCGAATAAGGCAGTGAATCGGAGACGAGTAGATGAGCAGGTGAGCCGAGCCGTGGCTGCAGCTAATAAGGCTGCTACGGCTGCAAGAGTGGCTGCTGTGAGAGCCGTTCAGAATCAAATGGATGGTAAATTTTGTCAAAGTTGAAAAGAAAAAAAATGTAAAAATCTTTTCTTGTTTTTTTGGGGTTTTACCGGTCTTCTCTGTAACCCTGATTGAGCTAAAAAAAATGGTAGCTTGTTTCAGAGGTTTGTGGCACTGAGAGTAATTTTCTATCTTTTTACTAATGTAACAAACTGTAAATAGTTGAAGAAGCTGGTGGTTTTACTTTTGTTGTAAATCAACGGCTTGAAATGGAGTTTTTTTAGTTTTGTTTTGTTTTGGTTTTGATCGAATCTTTGGGAACAAGTGATTTTGATTGATATTATGATTCTTGATCTGGATCACTGACAATATCGATTCCCTTCAGAATATTAAACAATGAAATAGTAAGTTGTTTTTTTTTTTTTTTTTTTACGATCAAACTCCATATATTAATTCACGGATAAGAACTCTCTTCTAGAGAGAGCCAATCGGATACCGTCGAACTTACATGGGAAAAGCAAAACCTGCGTATTCTTTCACATTTTGCAAGATGATCGGCGGAGGTATTACCACTACGAGGGATATACTTAATACTAAACATAGAAAATAAGTCTCTATAATGCACAAAATCCCTCATCTCTGTAGAAAAAGTAGGCCACTCCTCAGGACTTGAAGTCATCTCAATAAGATCTGTGCAATCCGTAAGAATGATGATAGTATTAATCTGAACCGCAAGTAAACACTTCATCGCCCATAATAGTGTCTCCAATTCCGCATGCAGAGGGGAGAGGCTTCTGCGTGAGCCCTTGAGTCCTAGGTGCAACAATCTTCCTCCACACGTAACGATACACCCATATCCTTTGTCTTTATTTGACCCCAAGAATGGATTAGATCGAAAGGACTTTCCTGTCGAACCCCTTTGTGTCTGTATGAATTTCTGACCGCGCGGAATCTCCATAGCCAATTTTCCATTTTTTATTATGAAATTATAGGGTGCCTTTGGTACTACTCTTATTTCACACGATCCAGGAACTTCCATAACGTTGGCGTGATTCGGTTTGAGCAACGGATCTTGACGTGATACATCTTCGTAATGAAAATTGAGTGGAAACATGAGTTGGCTTTTACAGTATCTATAGAATAAGCTGACTCATCCTACTCCTCCTTTCCGAAAAGATCTACACTCGCTGATTTTGATCTCCTGAAGCGTGTCCTTCGCTATGTTAAAGGCACCATCTTTCATGGGCTGTATATTCACAAAAACAGCAAGCTCAATGTTCAGGCCTTCTGTGATAGTGACTGGGCAGGATGTACATCCACGAGGAGGTCTACAACTGGATTCTGTACGTTTCTCGGATGCAATATTATCTCCTGGTCCGCAAAACGCCAGCCCACAGTGTCTCGTTCTTCTACGGAAACGGAATATCGAGCCCTTGCACTAACGGCTGCGGACAGCTTTTTCTCATCATAGGGGGACGGAGACGGTTAGTCAGCATTCCACTACCAACGAGCAGCAAACTCCTAGATGTATCTCTATGCCAAGACCCGTCAATAAAGCACACCGGTCTATCGTCTGGAGGTGGCGTCACCTGAACCGTCGAATTCCTCACAGGTTGGGGGTCCTCTCTCTGGTTTGCCCGTCTCCACTCCTCTTCCTCCTGAGTTGCTTTGTTCAAGGTTTCCTGGGGCGGTTCGCTCAAATTATCAAAGATCTTTCGATTTCGCGCCTTCCAAATGTACCACATGATCCATGGAAAAGCCCTTAGGCTCTCTTCATTTGCACCTACCTCCTTACCCCGCCAATACAAATAATCTAGGTTATTGTACAACGAAGATGATGGAAATAGGGCAGGAGATGAAGGAATATTAGAAAGGGCCCAGACTTGTCTAGCTGGAGGGCATTCAAAGATCAAGTGATTAATCGTCTCTTCTTCTGCACCACATCTAGGACATCCTTTATCTCTACCAATATGGCGATAAAATAGTCGTTGGCAGGAGGCCAAACAACCTGACACACATTGCCACACGAAATGTTTTAGTTTTCGCGTAGTTTTTAATTTCCAAGCTTGCGCCTTAAGTGCCGTAACACTAGGTCCCTGAAAAGGGTGGTCGCAAACAGGGCGAGAAATGGTTCTCGCGGCCTCATATCCAGATTTGACGGAATAATTGCCCGACTTCGTCATGGTCCAGCTATATCCATCCCTCGAGACGTTAAGGCTCGGTTTTATCCCTAGAATGAGGGTAATCTCATCCGGAGGAAATAATTCCCGGAGCCGCTCAATTTTCCATTGTTTTGTACCAAAGTCTATTAAGGTGTTGACGTAGACTAATGGGTCCCACTCTATATTCAATCCCTTCGGGGGACGAGCCGGGTCGTCTGGAATCCAAGGATCGGTCCAAATGCAAGTCTCAAACCCAGATCCAATAGTCTTGCGGATTCCATATTTAAGGACATCTTTGGCGGCCAACATACTTCGCCACCCGTACGATGGCCGGTTAGAGACAGTAATCTCTAATGGGCTATTATACCGGAAGTACCGTCCTTTAAGAACCCGAATAAGGAGTGATTCCGGAAATCTTAGCAATCTCCATAATTGCTTCGCTAAAAGTGTGAGATTAAAGTCTTCCAGGTTCCTAAAACCAAGGCCACCATCCGAAAGTTGTGTACAAATTTGATCCCATGCAATCCAGTGGATTCCCTTACTATCCACTTTATTACTCCACCAGAATCTGGCAATTGCAGAATTAAGTTTGGAACATATTGCTTTTGGCAATAGAAAACACGACATGACATATGTCGGAAGAGCTTGTGCCTGAGACTTAATTAGGACCTCTTTACCGCCTTTAGAGAGGAATTGAAAGGACCATGAATTAACTCGTGTTTGTAGTCTATCTCTTACAAACGCAAAGACTTGGGCCTTGGAGCCATGGATCTTTTCTGGAAACCCTAAATATGTCCCCATCCCTCCTTCCCGCGAAATCCCGAGGATTGATTTCATTTCTTGTCTTAGGGGAGTTGGGACCTCATTACCAAACATAATGGAAGATTTGGTGAGATTAATCTCTTGACCCGACGCCCGGCCATAAGAGCGGATAATATCGATAACCTCTTTACTCTGTTGGGCATTGGCTTGGCAGAAAAACAAACTGTCATCTGCAAACAAAAGATGAGATACTCGAGGGCTTGCAAAAGAAATCCGGAGACCTTGGACTTTCCCTTCCCTCTCGGCCTTTTTAATCAGAGCTATAAGTGCTTTCGTACAGAGTATAAATAAGTACGGAGAAATGGGGTCTCCTTGACGAATTCCACGTGATGGTCGAATACGACCTTTGGGTTCCCCATTAATCAGGACACGATATGAGACGGAGGTGATACATTGCATTATCCAATTGACCCATTTGGGGTCGAACCCCATCTTTTCCATAAGGGCTCGAAGAAACGTCCATTCTACTCGGTCGTATGCTTTGCTCATGTCCGTTTTTAGCGCCATAAACTTTTTTCGGTTTGTCGGGTTAGAGCGTAGAGCATGGAAATTCTCCTGAGCGATTAGGATGTTGTCAGTGATTAGTCTGCCCGCAACAAACGCAGATTGTGTCTCGGATATCAGATCCGGAAGGAATTTTTTAAGACGCAAGCTCAAAATCTTCGAGATTACCTTATAGCTTACATTGCATAAGCTAATAGGCCGAAAACCCGACATTACCCTCGATCTCTCTCCTTTTGGTATTAGACAAATATTAGTCTCATTTAGTTTCCCATCAAAAATACCGGAGCTTAAGAAATTCTTCACCATTTTAGTGAGATCGCCTTTTATAATTTCCCATAAACGTTGAAAAAATAATGCCGTCATCCCATCCGGCCCCGGGGCCTTCGTCGGATTTAGGGAGAATAGGGCCAGCTTAACCTCATCTTCAGTAACTTCTTTGACCAAAAACTCGTTCATAGCCGGAGAGACTGAAGGGGATATATCATTAAGTACTACCGTGGGATCTACCTCGTTCGAGGAGGAGAAGAGATTGTGAAAATAATCCACAGCGACTCTCTCGATTCCTTCTTCATTATCCACCCATGCGCCATTGTCATCTAGAATGCCTAGGATTTTATTCTTTGCCCTTCTTTGTTTTGTTAAAGCATGGAAGTATTTTGTGTTTTTGTCTCCTAATGCCAGCCAATTTTGGCGACTCTTTTGGTACCAATAAATTTCTTCTTCTGTGTAAGCCTCTCCCAATTGTTTTTTAAGATCACGAAGCGATTCTAGAGAAGTTTCATCATCAGCATAATTTGCCTCAATCTTATCATGGAGTTCTTTAATTAGGGTCTCCGAATTTGTTCGGGTTGATTTCTTCCAAATGGAGATTACTCTTTTGCAATTTTGAATTTTCTTCATTATGGGTCGATCTTCCCGTAGCCCTTCACCGTTCCAACCTTCCAGCACTGCTTCTGTAAGCCCGGGTTTCCCTATCCATCGTTTGTCAAACATAAATATTCTCGAAATTTTTTTCGGTTTAGATTGAATAGATGCAAGTAATGGTCTATGGTCCGACCCCCACATCTTTAAGTACTCCACATTGGTGTGGGAAAAGATATTGTGCCATTCTTCATTCCCCATGGCTCTATCAAGCCGAAATCGTATCTTACCATTAGACCGTTGACCAATCCATGAATATTGATTTCCATGATAGGAGAAATCAATAAGACCACATGAATGTATCATAGCACGAAATGGTAGAAAGGAGGCTTCCGAACGTTTTTTCCCTCCTCTTTTCTCATGATTCCCTGTTATCTCATTAAAATCGCCAATGATAAACCAAGCCTCGGATCTTGCGACTCCGATACGCATTAATCTTTCCCACACATATTCGCGGTTTGAAACAACAGGGTCACCGTAAATAAATGTCATAAAGACCCGATTTCTATTAATAATAGTTTCGATATCGATTAACCGGTCATCAATAGTAAGTTGTTTATTCGGATTACTATAATAATTTTGGTTGCCCAAGAAAAAAAACAAAAAATTTGGGAGAAGCATGAAGAAGATTCTTTGTTCGGCGCTATAACCCTTTGCGATTTCCCAAAATTATTGTTTTAAACAAACATCCAATGTCGTGATCCAGAAAATATCAATTTCATTAATACAACTTATTTATGGTCTCTGCTGTTTTAGATGCAATAATTCTATTTTTTTTATTCCTGATTTTTTTTAATAACTATTTTAGCTAAATTCTTTTACTATTTGTCTAGAAGTTCCAATTCTTTTGCAATATTGAGAGTTAGCAGTTTATTTATTTCCAAGAATAAATACATGAAACAGTATTCAGTTTGGAAATAGAAACATGTTT